TATATACGCGTATCTATGTGCTTGTATTTCGTTGATAGTACCCCATGATGGGTTGTTGTATGCACAGGGTCTTTTGCGCTCGGGTGAAACAGCTGATGATGCCATAAACCGATTGATTGACTTTGCTGGCGACAGACTGGAGGCACTCATGTTTAACTGTGGTGTGTTTTTTTGGGTTCAATCCCTTTTTATTCAATTGTTGTGCTGTGTTTGTCTTGTCTTGTTTTGCCTTGTGTTGTGGTGTGGGGTGTTGTCTTGTCTTGTGTTTAATCTGCAATATATGTTGCGTAAATGACTTTTATTCGTTTGGGAGTTAACGTTTAATCTGTGCGACGTTCAATTGCGAAGGGATGCACTTCCCAAATACTGTGCGTTGTGTACAGCTGAGGCGTTCAGTACTAGGGTTTAAGGGTTTATGGTTTAAGGTTTAGTACTGCGAGTTAGTCATACGCTATGGGATTGCGAATGATCGACACATACACTCAGTATGAGTTTGGGGATTTAGGGTTAGGGTTACTAAAACCCCAAAACCCTAAAACCCTACACCTCAGTATGCTGGAATAAAGTACAGACAGATAGCCACACACCAAAAGATGACAAACCCTAGAACTCTAAAACTCCTATGACACTGCATGCAACACAGGTCTCGTGGAAGGGGTGATACTGGCGGTTGAATCGCTTACGACAAACACACTCAACCGAATGAAAGCGATAGATATACATTTGGGTGTCTACCCCAACAGACTCACAGCTGTGCCTGAGGGCTGGTAAGTGCAGCGAGTATCGGATGTGTGTACATCTGTATTCATATATATATATATATGTATATGTAAATATATATACATATATATATATATATATATGGGTGTGGGTGTGGGTGTGGGTGGGTGTGGGTGTGGGTGCGTGTGTATGTGGGTATATATATATATACATATATATATGTGTGTGTGTATGTGTGTGTATGTATGTATGTATGTATATATATATATATGTTTGTGTGTGTTTGTGTGTGTGTATGTGTGTGTGTGTGTATGTGTGTATGTATGTGTGTGAAATCTGTTGCACTCCGATTGTCGCCATACAACCCCTGCCATCTTACACTACGTTGAGGCTAACATAGGTATTGGGTATTCCATTTATAAATTCCCTTGTACTTTTCCATATGACCCTATTCGGTGCTCTATTTATATACTCTATTTGGTGTTCTATTTATATACTTTGGCTCATATTCTTCAGGACAATGGGCTCTACACCCGACGCACAGCCAATCAGAGTTGACTTGGACGAAGCGAAATACACGGAATGGTGCGAACGGTTCATGGACAAAGGTGTAACCTACATCGGGGGGTGCTGTGGCATCTACCCCTCTTATATTGAAGCGTTGAACGGGGCAGTGCAACGGAGAAACGCGTTAATAAAATAACTCACGTTTAAGCCATACACCGAACCCGAAATGATACGATTATAAACACATATATGGCAGATTCATTTTGTATATATGTATAGTGGTACTATATATATATATATATATATATATATATATATATATATATATATATATATATATATATGTGTGTGTGTGTGTGTGTTACGCTGTAGAGGTAAACATAGCACAGGTGTTGCACCGCCAACAGTGCTGAGTCTCACCCATACTGTGTAGTGTGTGACGTGATCGCATTGAGTTCGTACAATTGACTCGTTCGGTCGGTCTAATTTTATTTATTTATTTTCCATCAAAAGGCAAATCTTAATTTCTCATGTAAAGCTGTATTAGACTGACGCAAAAAAACGTTAACGTTTTCGCGGTGCGCTCATACACATCTCCACACGTTACCAGCACGGCCTGTGCACATCTGCGCAATACGTTGCCACTGGTCAATCAACGGGCGTCAGTAGAAGCGCTGGCGAACGATAAACCCCTTTAAAAAACTGGGTTTTAGGGGTTTTAGGAAAATCCAAACTCTATACCCATATTTATGACTGGGTTTTAGGGTTTTTAGGCAAACCCTAAACCGCTACACACCTTCCGGGAGTACTCATAGAGGCCATGTGTGAAAGTGTATGCCACAACCCGGCCATTCGCGTGAATCAATCGCTGACACAGCCACTGCAACTGCGATACAGTGACTGCAACGGCACACTACTGAGTGTTTGGCGTTTGGTCTGTGTATGTATGGCTCTGTAGGCTCATGAACGGTATCCTTAGAACCACAACTGACACCACACCTCATACATAGTACACCCATGAATATACTACACCTGCGCCTTGGCACTGCTAATGTCTGCGATCACCTGCGCCTGACAATGCATACAGCTGTGTTGTGTGGACTGTCTACGGAGCACACTCTCCGCAAAACCCTAAACCCTAGAACTCCGTTGGGGCGAACGTGCTTCCGACCGCCACTCAGCCAGTAAGTCCGCAACGGTATGTACACAGCCACGCAGAGTCCAATAGCCGGTTGTCATGACAACCAATGCCTCGCCACGCCATGGCATGTACTTTTATATGGTGTGATGGTGTGCTGTGATTGTGTGCACTGTACTGTCCGATGAAACCGCCTCTTACGACGAGCCGTGCTGTTGTTTGCTGTGGCTGGTGTGTGTGTTTGTGCGCGTGTCTGTGTTTGTTTGTTTGGGTGTGTGTTTGTTTGCTTGGGTGTGTGTGTGGGGGGTGGGGTTGCTATATATAAAGTCTTCCCATTCTTCCACTGGCCCCACGTGCGCCGCTGTCAGTCAGTCAGTCAGTCACTCCGTTTAACGCCAACACATTGACAGTCGATGGGATGCCAAACCCTAAAACCCTATGCCTTCTATCGCATTGGGCCGACAGTGTTACAGGTCCAGTGCTCACCGATCGCACGATACAATTGCTGAGGAGCTGCGGTTGTAAATACGACACGTGCAACGTAAAATACGACACGTACATCGTAAAATACGACACATACATCGTAAAATACGACACGTGCAACGTAAAATACGACATGTCTACCGTACAATACGTGGCGCCCATTGCATGTACCACGTGTCTACTGATCAGTGCAACATGATCCCATCGCAGCACTGTTTGTTCTGTTTGTTTGGTAGTGCGTGCGTTGATTGAGTACCTTGAGTGGCTCTGCACGTGTTGTCGTTGGCACTTGCGTTGATTTGATTGTGTGTGTGTACCTTAGGTGGCTGTGTACGTGTTGCTGCGTGAGTGGTGAGTGATGTGAAGGGCACGAGCGTAAAGGCATTGAATCGATCGGCAATACTTCCGTCGCACTTGCACCTACCACAACACCCGACTAATCGTACATTTAAGAGCAATAGACCTAAAAGTACTCATAGAGTGCTCGGTTACTCTATTGTACCATCTCAACGGTCGCACAGCGTGCTCCGAGTACTACCCCCAACGACCCACACTGACAGAGCCCTTGGCGCCCCTAGACATCATCATCTGCAGAAGAAGCGAAGGCGAACGCTCATTAACAATGGCGTGTGTGTATACGTACATGCTTGCGTGTCTGATACGGGTTAGTCCATTCGTGCGTTTAAGCGTTAGTGCTATCTCAGGTGAACCATTTGCCACAGATTCGCCCATGAGCACCGTGTCAAGATGTCGCGAGAGCGATCAGTGTCTCATGCGGGCGATTGAGAGTGGCGATACAGCCGTGACAGCATTGACTATACTATCTTCTCGGTAGATGTGGTGTTACAAGTGTGTGCCTGTATATGCATATGTATCTGTATATAGAGATACATACATGCGTTTGTATATGAATATGAATATGGATATATATATATATATATATAAATATAGTTACACGCATGTCTGAATATGCAATAAATATATATATATATATATATATATATATGTATATATATATATATGTATATATACAGAGTATATATTATATATATATATATATATATATATATAAATATATAAATATATAAATATATAAATATATATATATAAATATATAAATATATAAATATATAAATATATATATATAAATATATATATCATAGCATACCGTGATACGCCCACATGGTGTCCTTCGGCGACTTCCGTGCTGCTTTGACGTACTGTTGATTATCGGCTGGTAACTCCTACAGTGATAGCACGATTGTGCATGGATGTATAAACAAAGTGTATGTAATCACTGAAATTGTACTGTTGTCTATTGACGGTTGTTGAATAACCTCCGTGACATGTAGGTGGAGGGGGTCGTAATAGACTGTATAGATATATGTGTACATTAACTTACCTACGTACATTTAACTACTTGCGTACATTAAACTACCTAAATACATAAAACTACCTAGTGTATGGAACTACCTATGTACATTTTTAACTACTTACGTATATTAAACTACCTATGTACATTTTTAACTACTTACGTACATAAAACTACCTATGTACATTTTTAACTACTTACGT